GATTCAGCTTGGGTTGTTTTGGTTTTGGTTTCCTGACAAGAGCTCAAGGCTTTTGACTCTGAGGCCTGTGCTGTGTACTACTGTATGGAGCTGATGGGAGTCAGATGAGAATAAAGATTTTTAGAAGATATCCAAGTGGATTTCTGCCATTAGTCAGACTTCCATTTTTGAACAACGCTGATCTCTACATCACATTAACCACACCTATGTCAGATTTTTGACCAGTTGCGCAAAAGTTGTCAGATACCACACAGGAATGATTGGATGACATCTGACAAACAAGATGCAAGAATTAGGGAGAGGGAGAACAATTTTCTCAGTTCTTGTAGAGCAGTGGTGTCAAGCTCCTTTTTTTCTAGGGCCACATTAGCATTATGGTGGTCCTCAAAGGGCCAGTTGTTATTAGGTTTGACATTTCATATTTAAATTTAGCTAAACATGAAACGTCAAGTTCCTCGTCTCATTGCTGCGACTGAGCACCACAGTAACTGAGCTCTACGTGGTATTTCCTGCAAAGAAAACAGTGTTTTAACACGTCCTCTTACAAACAGTGGAAAGTACTACATGTATGACTGAAAATGTGAAATAAATAATACAGAAATACTATTAAAAGTATAAGTAAGAGAGTTTTGCTCACTGTTGAGTTGTGGTGAGTAGCTGCCATCTTGAATCTCCCACTTTCCGACAAGGAATTCCCACTGGACAGGTGTTTATGACTTGTAAGTGGGAAATTCCCACTTCCCAGTATAACTGGGCGACAGCAAAAGTAGTCAGCAAAAATGCAAGGAAGAGATTTTACATTTTGAGTTTCGCCGGCTACTTTTGAACCCTGTGCACCGCCACCTAGTGGTGGGATGCCATCATTTAGGCCTGAATTTCCCCTCGGCGGGACAATAAAGGCTATATCTATTTTCTGTTTAGCAGGTAAAATAATCAACATACACTATAGGAGATGTAGTTTATGGTCAATGCTGTCTTTAAAGCAGCATGTTTATTTTCATACATTAACACAAATTTGGAGCGCTCCTGGACCACATAAAATGCTGTGGCGGGCCACATTTGGCTCATGGACCTTAAAACAACTTGCGAAAGCAAATTATACTTTAATACACTGTTATTTTATTTCAGCTATGTTTTAGACAAATATATTAAGCCACAAACTTTTGGGGAGAAAAAAAAATCAAAGTTGTTGAGGTTTAGCTCTACTCAGCAGCCCGCTGTTTTCCTGACCACTTCAGGTGGGTGGTAGCAGCAAGAATCCTCAGCTTGTTTGACTCTGTTAGCAAACTGTTTGTAGTAATTTTCAAAATGTGATTACAGCTGAGAGATTACTGTCTTTAACACTTTGAGTAGTTGTGTTTTATTTTAGGAAGGAATTAAAGCACAATGAACTCCTTTTTTTCTCTTGTTTTTGTGTACTGTAATTTTAATGTGGCTTTAGAAAGTGCAGTGGAACACTGATGTGTTTGTACCTGCTGAAAGGGCTTTTATATCTTTACTATTTTTCTTTTATATATATATATATATATATAAAGGAAAAAAATCTACTTCACTCTTAAGTATTCTTGCCAGAATGCATTTAACTTTTTTATTATAAATGCAGCAGCAGTTCTCTACTTTCTGACATCTAACTTAACTTTATTCTGTTGATGCTCCTCATCCTAAAACCCACGTTGATGTTTAAGCTGTTGGACCAGAGTTGAAGGGTCCTGAAAAGTTCTTGCGCTCAATTAAAAATGCAAATGTGTGTTTGTGCTGGCCTTGAGCCCACGTGTCGCACACAAAGAGCTTATCTCCGCTCAGCCACCGAGCAGGACTCTGTTGCCATGCCACCACTCAGGCTCACTCAATCATCCTAAGGTCTATAAAAAGATGTGGGTATCCTGGGAGACGTGAATCTTGCCTCAGCTTTCACTCTCACAGTTTTGTTTTCATCTCACTCTACGCTTCTACCTCCTCTCCCCCCAGTTTTTCTCCCACTCTTCGCTCGCGTCTCCTCTGCCTCTCCTTCCTTTTATTTCTCTCCTTTTTTTATTTTTAACTGAGGTCTCTTCTTTTCGATTTTTTTTTCTCCTTCACGAAGTCCCAGCAGCGGTGGCGATGAAGGCGCTCAATAGCAGGGGAAATCCGTGGACAGCGCGTGTAGCCCCTTCATTTATCTTTCTGTGCCAGAGCTTTGGTTTTGTGAAGCACGGCACAGTTAGTCTCATTGGATTTCATCTCCTCTGATGCCTGCTCCAGGATGCTTTTAGTGCAGTGTGTTACACCAACGAGAAGCTGAAGAAACACCACAGATAGGCTGTGTTTCCTTCTTTACAGGCCGAGCTTGTATGGCTGCACGTCTAAATGAAACATGTGCTGTTTGAGGTTATTACAGAACGTTGCATCACAAAAGTGGAAAGGTGTTGGATGCCAGCTGAGTGAAGCAGGTTTTTTTTTTTCTCAAAGTCTGGTGTGAATGAGGAGTTTGCCCTCAGAGAAGAAGAAGAAAGGCTCCAAGAACCTTTGAGCCCACCTGCCGGATACTTCACACAGACTCTTTGTTCCATTTGCTCAGAGTTTAGGTGACTTTGTTAGCCGTAAAAGCTGGTGTACAAAATGTGCTCTGAAGTTAAAGGACTAATTCAGATCTTTTGAAGCAGGGGTCTGTGGAAAGCTCATTAACGATTAAGATCTCATCCGTTGTAGATGGCTCTTTGAACGAACTTAGTTTGGAGAAAAGCTAGCAGCTAATCTGAGGAGGGCCAAGAGCAAAAGGGAGTCCTGCTGTTTTCAACAAAAATTTAATGTGATGTACTTTTTTTAGACTTTGGCACCTTGGTCAGCGTTATATTACATGGTTATTTTGTAAGAAATGATAAAATATTCCTACTGGAATTGTTCAAATAGTTAAAATACTTCCAAATAAGTATTGGTTTTTAGGGGGGTTACGTTCTCAAGAGTACCCGCTTGAAGGAAATTTAGTGACTGAATTTAAGATCCAGTCTTGTATTTTCTGTCATATGCTTTATTTAAACAGAGTCAGTGTGTCTTATCAATATGAAGCCCTTCTGTCTGCATAAGCAGACAGAAGGGCCTAGGAGTCTTCCTCTTGGATAAGCCAGGGACAGCTGTTGGTTACTAGAGAGGGTTGTTATTGTTTTGGTTCTGATAAGGCCAATGCGTTTTTGCACACAGGCCTGCTGCTGTGGGCCTTATTGGAGTCAAATTTTTGAATAAACCTTTTTTAGAAGAGAGTTAGCTGGTTTTCTGCAAACTTATTCCAACTTCCAATTTATTGAACAAGCTTTTCTTACATGCAAATTCTGAAGGAAAAAAACATGCAAAAAAGGCCTGTAAATGCAGATTTTTAGAACTTAAACTCTAAATACGCTCCTAATACATAAAATATACTGTATAGATTAAATTTAATTCAATAAAAATACAATAAAATGTATGCTTACTCACCAAAATGAATAATATTGACCGTCCAGCATAAAAAAAAAAGATTTACAGCTTTATGGTATTCCTGATCACTGCCTCCTTGTTGCGAACTGTGCTTTCATTGATGCCGTAATGGCATGCTACGGCAGCATAACTTAGTTAATTCAACCTTCTCCTGGAGCATCTTAAAAACATCCTTCTGCTTAGGTTCTTTGGAAGAAGTCTTAAAAGGTGCGGCAGGTTTGGGTGACATCTTAATGTGGTAAAAACAAAAAAAGGGTGAGAACTAAACAGTTAGCAGCTACACATGTTACTGTAACAGGAAACAGATCATGGAAATGCTGTGTTCCAGGTGAAGGTTTATAAAGAATAATTCACTGTATAGAAATTGTTGAYGCTGGAGTTAAGGATGGCAGAAATTTATGTTGCTCTTGGACCCGCTCAGTGTCCGTTACCTTATCTGTCCAGTCCAGGGGTTGGTAATACCCTGCTGCATATTTTACTTGTTTATTTGCTCCAACACACCTGATTCAGTGATTGAACTACCTCCTGTAGTTCTACTGACATGCATTAATCACCCATTAATTCAAATCAGGTGTGTTAGAGCAGAGAAACCCCTACAACGTGCAGGATTGCGGACCACCAGGACCAGGATTGTCCACCCCCTGGTCCAGTCAGAACTGAACTTGGGTAAAATATAACTTGTTCATAACTTTTCCAGACATCCCCTCTTCAATAAATCTGCATTATCAATGTAATAATTTACCTTTCTGTGATTAGTTAAGAGACGTCGGACATGTATCTCTGTTTTGAGTTCTATTTTTTTGTCTTTAAGTCATTGTCAGGGCTTTTATTTCTACAATGAACAGCATTACTTACAGCAGTTAGGTTTGTTATGAGGAAGAAAAACACTGTTTTGCCTTACCACAGCCTAACATGGCATGTAGCATAAAAAAGAACACCATGAGAAAATACCACAAAATAAAAACAACTCTACCTGTGAACAAAAATGGCTCATATGCTGCTCAGTAGCTGAGGAATGATTCTTCCTCCGCTCTCCAGATTTAGTCAGCAAAGCTCGCTGACAGTGGCTGTGCCACCGGGGGTTTCCTAATTACCAGCCTTCAGCAGCCTCAGTCTCTCCTTCGTGCTGCCTTTACCTGTGGTGCTGCTGTTATGTGCTGAGATTCTGTTACTCACCGGCTTCCTACATCACGAGAGGTGAACATGAAAAGGCGCACTGCGTCATGATTTGCGTCAGCGGAGGAGAGAGCATCCATCACAGCTTCTTCATGACTATAGATGTAGTCGTTCTGAACTTGTTTTTTTYCCCTCCTTTTGTCGATTTTTGATACACATGTGGTGATCTCTGTGGAGGGGAGGGGAGCATCATGGCTACAGTGCTCTTTGTTCCTACACTCAAAGTGTTGCGTGCTCGCTGCGTGTTGTGATGAGGCCTGAAAAGCAGACGCAGTCATTAAAATCGGCGYAGCAGGGTTACGGCTGAACGAGAACCCGTGTCAAACAGATCATGTCCCTGACGCTTACCGGACGCTGCTGTCTTCTTGTCCCRCCAGATCCCACATCTCGCCGAAGGCGTGCGCATCCACGGCGAGAAGGTCACCGAGGCGCTCAGGCCTTTCCACGACCGCTTGGAGGCCTGCTTCAAACAGCTGCGAGAGAAGGTGGAGAAGCAGTACGGGGTGAAGACTCTGGTGAGAGCTTTTTGCTTGTCTGCAGCAAGCTGCTGCTGCTTCCCTTCTCTTTTTTTACAGGTTTAATTGTTGCTTGACCAAGCATTTCCCTTCACTCTTGCCTGTGGTAAAAGGGTGCTCGCTCAGTTAAAAGGAAGAGGGTGGCGACCTTTCAAATGAAAAAGAAACCATTCCTTTCCAGGGTCTGATAATAAGGTTATCCTATTAGACTTTTAGTTTTAGCCTGAACAAATGATTCATTCTTAAAGGTTCTTTACCAGATCTTACAGGTTCTAGCAGAAATCATCACTATTTTTATTTTTATGTATCTTTATGTTGAAAAGGATAATGCATCTGTTCAAGGAGCTATATACCTGAAACAAAATGTAATCACTGCTGGTTAACTRGTTGCCAGTCTTTGCAAAAATGGTAACTTTTAAGCTGAATTTGTTTTGATTTTGTCGTTTTGTGGTATCAGTCGACAGCAGACGAACGACGGGGATCTCGTCCTCCCTCCATGGTGCGCTCGTTCACCATGCCCTCCTCCCAAAGGCCTCTGTCGGTCGCTTCAGTCASCTCCATCTCCTCAGACAACTCCCCCTCCAGACCGGGCTCAGACGGGTAACTCATGGTTCACAGAAACACCATAAAATATGCACTATTTACCAGAGCTGCAACTAATGACTGTTTTGATAGTCKACTAATCTGCGATTATGGTTTTTAATTAGTYGACARTTATTTTTGTCACAACGTCGATCTTTGYTTCCTGTGGGTGCACTTCCTGTTCCAGCTTCAKTGCACATCTCATCTCACCTGCTCATCATACCTGAGAATGTCACCCTGTTATCAAGCCTCTACCTTAACACAAGTTCCCATAGCAATTTAAAATTATGACTCATGAAACATATACGTTTGAACTCAAACTTAATCTCTTACTCAGATGTATTTTAACATTATTACATGTAAGCGTAATAAAAATTAAATGATCTAATACACATTAAACTGCAAGTAGTCTTTTAAACAAACAGCTGTGGTACAAATAACTCAAAATAGCCACCTCTCCTCTGCATGAGGGGCTGTTAACCTGCCCTGCAGGATGTAGTTGTCGCTTTTTAAGTCCAAAATAACTAAGGAATAACTTGAGTTAAAATGATATTCAAGTGATTAAAGTATAAAAAAAATCAATCCTGGTTGAAATCTTGCTGGATGTGACAATTTAAAAGTTATAAGGCTTAAACGCCATCAAAAAAAACAAACAAAAAATAAACGGGATAAGACGAGACAGGACGGCATATTATTATAATTCAGTGATTTAATATGAAGTGTTAGCATAAGTGATAGCTGATTATAACTAACTKTTTTTTGGTCAAATGTAGCCAACTTTGGAAACTTAAGTYTTGTTTTYTTTCCCCTCTTTGACGTGATCRACTTTCTGTTCCACCATTAATATYGCTTTTTGATTTGCCCACAGCTTCTTCTGTGGTTTTCAGGCAGGCACCTCTTCTTCTTTTGTAAACAAAGCARCTGCAGACARTAGAAGTGATTCTGCCCCCAGTGGTTCATAGATTGCATTKCAGTTACAAATGAACATTTACCAGGGTAAAAATAATAAGATGCGTCGACATTAAAATTCYGCGTCGACTWMTTTTATAATCAACGTTGTCGATTATGTTGACTAATTGTTGCAGCCTTACTATTTATTTATATTTACTTGAGCAAAGTCTATTTGTTGCCTTATTATCTTGTAACTGTTTTACAAAACCGATGACAAACGGAGGAACAAAATGCATCCTGTCTTTGTTTTCTGTTGTGTTCAGGCTACAACCGTTCATTTAATTTGAGTGAAAAATGAAATTTTTAATCTGGTCTGGTGCTGTTTTTTTGTTCTTACTTACTTACTCATTTATTTGTTCGTTTATTTATTTATTCATTTATTTTTCTCTCACTTCAGGTTTAACTTGGAGACTCTTCTACCAAAGAAGCTACACACCAAGTCTCAGGACAAACTGGACCGGGACGAGCCTGAAAAGGAGCGCAAGGAGAAGAAGAAGGAGAAGAGGAACAGTAAGCATCAGGAGATCTTCGACAAAGAACTGAAGACGCACGAGATCAGTCTGCAGCCGACTGAAGCGGTCATACTCTCAGAGACGGTAATGTTGATTTTTATATATATACATATTTGCTTCCTGCTTGTTTACTGTTCCTGAACAAGTTATAACACTTGCTGAAAGCCTTCTCATTTAAAAATAGTCGGGAAGATATTAATGTGAGTCGCAGTGTATAAACTAATGATGAAATGTAAATATTCTCCTTTTAGAAAGTCAGTTATCTTTCTGCCTGCCGCTTCACTCACATGCTGAATTTTTAGTTTCGCTCCTCTCTGATCTTCTACCCTTTTGCTAATACTCCTCTGCTCTCCAAGTTTTCTGCTTTTTTTGTGTTGGACGGGTCTTTATCTCCCTCTCTGTCTGCYGCGCTCACGTCCCGCCTCACCACTGCTGTCCATTCTATCAGAGAGGTATGACCGTGCTCTGCACGCCCAGTGGGAATGCTCCTCGACTCACAGCATAAAGATAAGGGCAGGAATGGGATTGAAGGGAGCCCCCTGGCAGTGGTGGAGCCGTCTGACTCATGAGGGGGGACCTCATGCCTCAAGGGTCAGGAGAGGAGAACTACAGAGTTTCTGACTTCTATTTACTTTTTAATGTCTAATCTCAAACACAAACATCAAAACACGTTTGTTTTTTTCTTTTCCCCCAACCTCAATATCAATTACTCTTTTAGGTTTTGGGGGGGAAATTACTCGCCTCAGTGGAGACTGCTATTTTTCAGTGTCTCCCTCATGGCCCGTGTTTGAGTTTGGCCAATTACAAAATTGTTTGTTAATGTCGCCTACAGTGTGGAATAGCACCCGAGGACATATCTTTTCATATTCAAATTTCAGCCATAATAAAGTGGGGGAAACACGGCCATGCATGCAAACAATTATTTGCAATCACAAATACTGCAACGCGACAAGCACATTTATCCAAATAGCTTTCTCCTTTAGGAATACAAATAGCTGTTTTAATATGTGTGAATACACACACACACACACACACACACACACACACACACACACACACACACACACACACACACAGCAAGCCCAAAGGAGATGTGAAACTAATTTTCTCCTATTTCATCAGAGTCTCAACTTATTTCCTGCACAGAAAATGTTCCTTTTTATATTGACTTGAATATTTTCAGTGACTTTAAACCACCCAGAAAAGTCTCAATCTTGTCTTTTCTCTTCACATGACCCCGCAGATCAGCCCCCTGCGGCCTCAAAGACCAAAGAGTCAAGTTCTCAACCCGATGGCGGTAGACCGTCGTCTCTCTGTGTCTCCTGCACATTCTTCTGCATCCATCAACCACTCCTCCTCCTCCTCCTCCTCCTCACAAGGACCCCCGCCCATTGCACCGAGGAACAAAAGCTCCTTGAGCCTTCACACTGGTTCTAGTAAGAACTTAACCTTTTGATAGAGACGAGCTGGAGCTCACTGTAAAGTACAGGTTTAGCTTTTAGATCTGCTCAGGTCTTCTGCAAGAGGTTTTGTTGTACTGAATGTGTTCCTGTGCTGARCTGAGACCAGAGTTGAGGTAATATCTCACTGAGCTGGGATGAGTTGGTGACTGAAATTGCAAAAAATAAAAAAGGGCAAATTTTCTGTTGCGGTCTCACTGAATTCTGAATGTTTGTGACCAGTGAGTGATGTGCAGACGATTTTTGAAAATCACAGCCTATTTTTTTGTTCACGGATTTCAAAACTGTATTCTAAGCAACGCACAGTATTTTGTTGCAGYAAACAAAAGTTTGAAACCAGAACTTTCTTGCCGTGAAGCAACAATGCTGATCTATAACGATAACGTATCTTTGCTGTGATCATCTACAGAAATTAAAAATACATCAGAGAGAGCATAATGATGCTGCTCTGAGTTGGTAAACCAAACATGTTATTTATTTTTTAAAGAACCCGCTCTACTACCGGCCCTGGTTTTGCACTAAATATATATATAAGAATAAGAAGCCGAAATTTCCACAAAAAAAATAATTTAGCTAAGAAGAATTGTAAATTAGCAAAAATTAAATTAAAAAACAGCTGAAATTAGGAAAAACAGCTGAATAAAGCACAAAAAGGTATAAATTAGCAGAATAGCTGAAAAGAGTAGAAAGATGATTGAAAAAGCAGAGAAAAAAATAAAATTAGCATAAAAAAGAAACTAAAGGAAACTTCAATTAGCATGAAGATGTTAAAAAAAGCAGAACCAGAACTACATGTGTACAACAGGGGTTCTCAAACTTTTTGGGTCCAGGGACCCTTTACAAGTGTGAAAATTTTCTAGGGACTCCCTTATAAAACCCACACTGTTTTAAAAATCATTTACTGTCATTTTAACCCCTGAATTCCATGGAAATAGTATTTTTTGTTTGGCTTAGTGTTTGTTGTACTAGTGCATTGTTCCCCATATGCATATTTTTTAAATAAAAAACAAATTAACTATTTATAGAAATTTTTTTCAGGATCCCCAAGATACAGCTCACGGACCACAGTTTGAGAACTTCTGGTGTACAGTAATAACTTATAACTATTTAGAAAGATTTTAAGGATATTACAGCTCATTTTCAGTGAGAAAAAAAATGGCAGAAAAAGCTAAATGTCTTAAAAAGTATAAATTGCTGAAGTACCAAACGTCATAGCTTGAATGTCTTGAAGAAACTGAAGGTTTTGATGTTTTTATTGTTGAAATAACATGAAAATTGAGAAACAAGATGTTTGCCAAAAACATACGGTAGAGAAATGGATCTGTGTAGTGTGAATGCTTTATAAGCACTCATCTGTTATCCAGTTTTTCAGAACTTATAAAGGACAGGATAGTTGTACAGTCCTTAGTGTTTAGTTCTGTAGTTTTTTTTTTTCTTGGTTTCAGTTACAGAAACTTTGTCATACATTGTCCTTGTGGCGTCCTCTGGCTCTGAGCCCTGCTGTTACAGAACCGTTGATGTGTTTCGGTGATGAATGTGAGCTGATGAGCGTCTTTTCCACAGATCTGGAGCTGAACGGGATGGGCTGCCCTGACAAGGGTGAAATCCCCCCTCCGCTGCCGGTGAAAGGCATCACGTCGGATTACGGCAACCTGTTGGATAATCAAGACTTGGCGAGCCCCTCGACGCCCCCGCCGCCCCCACCACATCAAAGAGTAGGTGTTTTAATTAGGGCTGAGAGGAACTCCTTAATGATGCGTGGCACTTGTAATGAAACAAAGCGTCCGCTTCTCACACTTGACATTTAGGTCAACCTTCTGCACGATCCCTTCACTCCTGTACATCCGGTTCTGCAGGTTTTTGTAATCTAATTACTTTTTTTAGCTGCTTTGTGATGTGTGTCACAGAAAAGTGGATGCATCAGTCAGTTAGCAGCCTGTACCTGCCTGTCCACCCTGCTGTTATTTATACTCGCCCTGCCAGCCGGCCCGGTGCTCATACGTGATTGATTGGATGATTACTTTACCTCCCACATTCATCAGAAGCTCTCCAGCTGTTAATCAGCAGCTCGTCTCTCCACGCTCGCCGGCTCCTTCTCAGGCCATCCTCTCGTCTCACCTCGCCTCTCAGTTAACTAATCTTATTTATCCGCCGTCACGGACAGGTAGTAAAAACCACCCAGACCCACAGACAGGTAGTAAAACAGAGCCGGGGCACGCCGTGTGGCAAAAGACTGACAGTAAAGCAGAGGGAGCACATGTTTCGGAGACAGAGTTACTGCCAYTCTTCATTTATAATTCTTTATGGAGGCTGAGCTGAGGGTATTGATGAGCGTTRCACCTCGTCTCTTGTCTCTGTTGTGACAGATATGCAGGAAGGGAAAAGAAGCATTCGCCGGCGGAGGCATTTTTCCTTTTTCTATTTATCTTGAGTAGAAAACATCTCAAACCAAATTCCACAAAGTCATGCATATTCCGGCTCTCCGTGCAATCGATGGAAAACCACCGTCGGAAAGAGAAGAAAGAGCAAATCTTTGTCTTGTTTGTGGAAATCTACTCACATGAATTTGTTACCATGCTAAAGAAGACAAAGACGAGCACCGGAAAAGTGTAATGCCTGAAGAAATTTGTCTTCTGGAGCATTAAGGTCTGAATAAATATATAAAACTACCACAGTGGTTCCCAAACTTTCTCTGCCGGGCCCCCCTTTGGGTTATAAGAAAATGTCCAAGCCCTCGCACACACAGGCTGCAACCACACACACATATTTTGTTTTCATCGCAGTTTATTTTACACCACAAACTTTTTTGAACTGAACTAATAAACATAAACTGAAATAAATTGCAGGTTGCAATGAAACAAACTACAACCTCTTAAATCATCAAACCACCTGAATAGTGCCACTTTAAGTGTAGCTGTTTTTTTTACTGTGTGAACCTTTAACATTGCTGTCAACAAATCTTTTTCAAAAAATGCTTATTTGTGTAAAATGGGTTTAAAAACATTAAAGGTTTGTTGATCAAAAATGACACCATTAATCCTCTCGTCTTTGCGTTGATGTGGGAGTCCCGTCGAAAACCTGTCCGTTATAACAGAAATGTCCAAGCATTTGTTCATTTGTTTTGTTCATTCAGTCCCCCACCGTAAAGTGGTATCAGTACTGTAGCATTAAAACATGTTCGACTGCCATATGAAACCAGTACCTGATGCTGATAACTTGGTAGCTATTTAAAAAAATAAATAGATAAAATCAATAATGCAACCTTAAAAATATCTGTTTAAGGAATGGATTGTGACGTTACATTCATGTTAAACGTTCTCTTTCCGCGTTCATTTCAGCTGACGTTAAAAAAACTCGTAATATACTTTTACTCGTCACTTTATTTTTTAAATGACAATAATCAAGCTTTAATATAAATTATTTTCATTTGTTTTAATTAATATTCAGTCTAAACAAGCTGAACAGAAAATCCTCATCAACCAGATGAACACTAGGGCTGCAACAATACGAGTATCTGTATGAAACCATTCAGTACAGAGCTTTAGGTTCAATACACACTTGWATGGAACAATGCAGATTTTTAAAATGTRTTTTATCAACTTGTCTTCTGAAGATGTTCTATGTTGATCTGTGTTCCACTACTCCACCTAGGCTGCATTGTCAAGATCCACTGAGAAACTTGCTGTTTCAGCAACATTTAGTTTCAAAATTGTACTTCTGAGGTTAAACAAATGTTCATAATTAGTTTCAATAAATTACAAGTTAAGAAGGGCATGGAAATTTCTCTTTTTTTGTTTTGAAAAAATATCAGACCGTGACACAAAAGTATTGAATTGTATCGAATCGTGAATTTTCTGTATCGTTGCACCTCTAATGAACACGTAACCTTTTCTCTGCAGTAACCAAAACCACTGGCTACGTTCACACTGCAGGCAAATCCGACCCAAATCCGATTTTTTTGACCCATCTGACTCATATCYGATTTTTATTATGACAGTCTGAACGAGACAAATCCGATTTTTTCAAATCCGACCCAGGCCGTTTCAGTATGTGGTTTTAAATCAGATATACAGTATATCTGATGTTTTCAAAGTGACTGCAGTGTGAACGCTCATGTCACATTCATCTGACTTTTTCATCAGGAGGAGGGGGTGAAGGATCGATAAGACACTAACCTCAAGTCTCACTGTTTAAATCTGTAGCTCCATGTGTTTACAGCTGCATAACACAAGTCCATTTGCTTCATCTTTTTACTTTTCATTAGTATGATAATAACATGTCCAGCCTGGGTCGCGGAGAGTATCGATCCTAAAGTTAGATACTCGGTCGATACTTTTTTCCAGCTCGTAGTTTCGTTCAAAACTAAAAAGCTTCACTGGAGCATCCCGGTCAGAGGCAGGTTCAGATATAAACACTGAACTAAAAAGCAGGTCAGATAATTATTTAATCGGCTCTGATTAAACAACTTCTGATTCGATGTGTAATATGTAGCATCCATGCTAGCTCTGTAAACAAACAAGCCGGCTGATGAGACGTCACGTCTTTTACTGCGCATGCGTGTCACATCAGTGCTGTGKAGCGTTCACACAGGGGTCTGATGCAGGTCACATTTAAAATGTAATGTGAACGTTCACACAAAAAGATCGGATTTTTTCAAAAAATCGGAACTGAGCATTAAGACCTGCAGTGAGAACGTAGCCAATGACTGTGGTCCCAAAACTTACATATAAACAATGACATTGAATGATTGCACTTAAAATATGAGCAGATCACCTGCTGTGTCCTGAACACACTTCATCTGGTCTGCATGGACTTGAGTTGCCCACCTGCCAAAGTGYCTACCGCCATGAGACTTTGGATTTTTGCCTCGTTCCGACGACTGCTCGCCATCTTGATGTTGATCTGAAAGTTGAGTCTACTCTGCTGCCACCCCCTGACCCCTCGTCGTTTGGTCATTTGAAGTAACTTTGGACACTCAGCTGTTGTGACATTTTTCCAAGTGATGCCAACGAGGTCACGAAAGTGTGAAAACAGCTAACTGATATGCTAACTCGCCACCAAGTGGTCAGAGGTGTTAATTGCGATCTGTCGAAATGACTGATGGACTTCAGATTTTCCATCACCGTTTTTAAAAAAATGGTCAAATAYGGAAAATATTTGTCTAACACKAACACTGCTTTGCTAAATRCAAGCATACAGTTGTTTAGGAAGAATATCTCACATTTAAACCAGCCTATTTAGTTTCCCTCAGGGTGTATTAAATTATCTATTTCACGAATCCCAACTAACAGCGACCGGATGGGCTTGATGACACGTGTCAGACTGCGCTCTACGACTTGTCAGTCTCCCGCAAACAGACAGATGTGGGTTTTGTGACTCTGATGGTGTTAAGTACAGTAATCTGTGAAAACTGCAACTCTGAACTGTCTGCACACAGTCTGACACCGAGCCGAGCTGATAAGTTGCTTTTCCTGCTCAGGCTAAATGCAGTGATGGATGGAGTGACAATGTTGTAATTTATCTTTCAGTCAGGTTGCCTTTTTTTTCCCCTGTCTGGGGCTCTAACATCAGCACAAGACTTGATTATTCTGACTGGTTTTGAAAACAATCTGCTGTAAACCTGTCTTATTTGGCTGGTTTTGTAAATCWTTACATTTGCATTTAAAAGTTGGGTAATATTTCTAAGCCAGGGTTTCTACATCACAACCTTTGCTCAGCTGGGGTGGCTATCATGAACGGGCTCGACTCCAAAAGGTAATTATTTATAGATGCCCACTCGATGATTACTTTCTGAGTTTCATTAAAGTCGTTCTTCGAAGCCGGGCGATGTTAAAATAAAACCAGCTGTTGTAAATGTTTCCACCCCACCACCTTCACAATAAAAGACCCCTCAGTTAATTTGATTGCAGATTTTAATCTTTTGTTTTTAGGGATTTTAGTGGAACGTCAAGCTATTATAAATCAAAAATTGTCTTTGTTTTGTCTTTTTTCTTGCAGCACATTCCACCYCCTCTTCCAAGCAAGACCCCTCCTCCACCTCCTCCCAAGACCACCAGGAAGCAGGTCTCCATCGATTCAGGAATTGTACAGTAAACAAAGACAGCAGGACCAAACAGCACTCTTGACAACAAAACCAAACCAACATCGACAGTAAACATTCCCGCAGAAGACAAAAGAGTTGTTTTCACCCACACGTTCCTCACTCCCTGTCCCAGCTTGACAAGATGAATACCTCACTGCAGCCCACCCCCTCTTATCATCTTTAACGCTTACAGTTCTTCTTCTCTCTTTCTGTTTGACGATGCTGTCCGCAGCCGCCGAGCTCGACGATGTCGTCCACAGCCTCCAGATTTTTAACCCTGACTTTCTCTCACGTTTATCCGACCGGACGACTCATTAAATCATTACACATGTCTTTTTATTCTTATTCCCATCATGTACAGAGGTATGTATATATGATTTTATTTTATTTCAGGTGTTTTTGTACACTGTTTGACCATGACGTTTTTTTTGTATTAACGTATCATTAGATGAAGTGGCATTTATATGAAACACAGAGAAAAAAGGGCCCGTAGGTTTGAAGTGACGAATGATTTTAGAGAACTGGGATGTGAGAACCTTACGTTTGGAGTGCACATCCGACTAACTGTTCCGACCTTGTCCTTTCATGCTGTAACCTTGGAATTCAACAATATTGACTGTTACCAGTTCACTACTGACATGACTTTTTGAATAAACTTTAAAATGTATATATTTAAAAATCTATGCAGAATGTGTTTCTTATTRCGTCTGCTTCCAGGGTGGAAATGGTACAAAAAAAAAAGAATCTGTATGTGCTTTCTTTTTTATGTGAACACAGTAAGAATGCTTCCTGCCTGTTTGATTGACAGACATCACAGCAGCCCTCKTCATTGTCGGCGCGTAGGAGGAGCCGTTTTATCAGGACCAAGGAATTACAAATATACAGTATGTTCGGAGCGGAAAGCTTGAAACGGCAGGGAAACTTGCTTTATGCAATCTGCTTTTAAAATGTACTTTAACCCTTTGTTTCCCYTCACACTGAAGCCAAGTAACGTTTTATATATAGTTATTCATTTCATTTAAAAAAAACATTACATACAACAAAACAATACAAATAAAATAAAATGAAAAGCAGCAGCATCTTATAAAAATAAGTTAAATTTTTTTTATCCCTTTTTGATTTTGCATTTACAGCAAGGTAGCTTTAAAGTAGATATATCCTGCT